AGGAGGAGGAGGACGAGGACGAGGACGAGGACGAGGACGAGGACGAGGAGGAGGAGGAGGAGGAGGAGGAGGAGGATATGGAGGAGGATGAGGTTGCGCTCACAGCAGTGCACGATGTCCAGGAATGCCTGCCGGTAGTGAGGCGGGAGGAAGCGCAGTTGCTTCGGGTGGAGGCGGTCCCATCCCAGTCTCTTTGGTCTCCCCGAACGTGGCCAGCACCTGGTCGAGCTCCTCCATGGTGATGGGCGGGAGATCCTTCCTTCCAACCGCCCTTGGCCGTGCTCCAGCCTAGCGGGTCCGCGTCGTTCGCGCGCTCAGGGTGGATCCAGGGGGCCTCCCAGTCCCGCATCAGGGCTTGCATGGCGGCATCCCCTGCGACGGGTAGGGGCTCCTCCTCATCACCCTCGTCGTGGCATTCCAGGACGGTGGGTCTGACCTCGTCGCTCTTGATGAACCTGAAGGCCGCCCTGCCACCTGCCTCTGCGGCCGCCTTCTGAGCCCACTCGCGCCATTCCAGGCTGCGCTTGGCTCGGTCCCTTCGCTGGAGCTTCTGCGCGTGGTCAGCCATGTCCACCAGCAGGCCGTGGCAGACATGGACAGGTTGGCTCTCAAAGGCGCAGCCGATGGACTGCACGTTTCACCCAGCAAGGCCCTCTTCGGTCGGCCACTCCTCGCACGGAAAGACGAATCCCTTGGCCACGCGGACCTGCCTCTCGAACTTGCCGTAGCGGGTCCACTGGCAGTCCTCCATGTGGCCACGGAGCTGAGCAGCTCGGCGGCAGGCTGCCGCGAGGCCCGCCCACAACTTGTACCCTGGGCTGGTGGTGGCCTTGATAGCGTGGTGGCCTTGATGGCCACTCCTACTGCAGGGGGACCTCGATCGCCAAGCCGCTGGCAAGACCGTAGGAGCGGCTGCTGGCGCTGACCGTGAGGCCGCGCAGCTTGATCAGGTAGTCCTCGACCATGCCGAACCAGAACCTGGAGGCCTGCTCGACGTCCCCAGGGAGGCCTCCCAGCTCCCACGCCCAGTCCTGCGGCTCCAGCAGCTCAGGGGCCGGCTCGGAGTGCGGCCGGAGCCAGGGCGAGACGCGCCCAGGGTGCATGGGCTTGGTGACGGTGGCCCTCCTGTGCAATCTTTGGAGCCGCCGGCCTGCCGCCGTGCGAGGCGAGATGGGCCCCTCCCCGTAGACTGTCACCTGGTCGACCTTGCTGGCGAGCACCTCCGAGACAGTAGCGAGGTCGTGCTCGCTCTTGCCGCAGGTGGGGGCCCAAGGGCGAGCCACAACCGCGTTGGCCTGCCTGGCCCACTTTATGAGGAAGTCGGGCTCGATGTTCCAATCGGCCATGATGACCCACGGCCAAGGGAGCTCGCCGACCCAGGCCAGCAAGGCCTCGAGGTACTCGAGGTTGGCCCCACTGAAGCCGATGCTGTCCAGAAAGAGGTGGAGGAGGAGGAGGAGGGCGAGGACAAGGACGAGGACGAGGACGAGAACGAGGAGGAGGAGGAGGACGAGGGAGTTGGAGGAGGAGGAGGACGACGACGACGACGACGAGGACGACGACGAGAAGGAGGAGGACGACGACGAAGAGTGAAGGAGAAAGACGAGGGAGTCGGAAGAGGAGGAGGAGGAGGACGAGGAGGAGGACGATGACGAGGAGGACAACGAGGAAGAGGAAGACGAGGACGAGGACAAGGAGGAGGAGGAGGACAAGGAAGAGGAGGAGGAGGAGGAGGAGGAGGAGGAGGAGGAGGACGACGACGAGGGAGTCGGAGGAGGAGGAGCAGGAGGAGGAGGAGGAGGATAAGGACAAGGGAGACGGATGAGGACGAGGAGGACGAGGGCGAGAGCAACATCTTGAAAACGGCCCGCCCTCTATCCGTGAAGTTATTGCATTGTTTGAAAATACTTCGAAGACGAATGTGCATGGCGCTATGGCGAGAGCAACATCTTGAGAACGGCTCGCCCTCCATACTTGAAGGTGTTGCACATTTTGAGCGTAAGGATGATCAGTGGTGAGGGGGTCTCAGGGGAAACACCCGGCCCGCCCTACCAACACGTCTCGTGGCGCAACAGGGAAGAGCTGCTTATAAGGAAAAAGGGATGGAGGTGGAGGAGGAAAAGTAGGAGGAGGAAGAGGGAAGCAGCAGGAGACGGAGGAGGGGGATGAGGAGCAAGAGGAGCAGGATGATCAGGAGGAGAGGGAGAAGACGGAGGTCCTCGACTTCCTCCCGAGGAGGTTTCGAGGGATCGAGGACGGACGATCTTCGATCCCTCGAATCTCCTCGACCCGTCGAATCTCCTCGATCCCCCGATCCTCGTTTATCCGATCGACGATCCCTTGAGGCCTCTGTAGGAGGAGGTGCGCAAGCGCAAGCCCGCGCCAGGCGTCGGCGAGAGCCCCACATTTTCAAAACGGGTCGCCCTCCATCCGTGAAAGTCTTGCACACGTTTAAGACGAATGTGCTTAGGCGAGATGCGTATTTTGAAAATGGCCCGCCTCCATCCATGAAGCTCTTGCAAACTCTTGCAATGGCGTCGGGCGTCAGCCGGAAAACCCCCGGCCGCCGGGAGGGTACGCAGGCCTCGCTCGGGGATCCGCTTGCGAGTATGTGCCCGCCCCGGGCGGCCCGGCTGGGCGCGGCGCCGTGACCGAGCGGCGTCGTCAAGCCGCTCGGAAGGAAGGAAGGAGGAGGAGGAGGAGCTGGAGGACGAGGAGGAGGAGGAGGAGGAGGAGGAGGGGGAGGGAGGAACGACGAGGGAGGAGGACGGACGAAGGGGATCGATCTCCAGGGGCCGTCCTGAGGGGGCCACTGTGCTCATGGCGACTTTGTGCCAGCCTTCGGAGCCATACGCAGCCGCGGGGCGATCGGAAAGACGTCCGAGGACGAACGAGTTGGAAAAACGTATTGGGCTCAGTGTGAAACCGTCGTGGAGGCTTACTTTGGGGTCGCCTCTGGCTGTCTCTAGCTACTGAGGGCTCCCCAGGAGGCCTCTCGGCGCGTCTCAGGGCCCTCTTGGAGTCTCGCGTCCATCCTGGAGGCATTCTCGATGGTCGAATGGGCGGCTCATGCGCCCTCCTGAGTCCTGCGGCACGACGTCCGCCCATCTCTTTGCAGCGAACAACACTCAAAACCTTGCTCGTTGACACCGATCCTCGATTCCTCGCGCGATGCAGCATCCGCGGGAAGTCTGCCCTTGGACCACTCCCAGGGTCCGTCCTGGCCCGTTGTTCGAGCTGCGTCCAGCCCTGGCGACGAGGCAGACGCCCTGGCCCCGAAGGTCAAAGGAGGAGGAGGAGGAGGAGGAGGAGGAGGCAACAGGGGAGGCGGAGGAGAAAGGAGAAAGAACAGGAGGAGGAGGAGGAGGAGGAGGAGGAGCATGAACAGGAACCGTCCGCAGTTTCGAGCCTCGAGCAGGAGGAGGAGGAGGAGGAGAAGGAGGAGGAGGAGCAGGAAGAGGAAAGGGGGCAACCAGGAGGAGGCAGGTGGGAAGGAGGGGTGGGAGGGGCGGGCAGGCAGGCAGGAGTTGGACGAGAATGAGGAGGAGGAGGAGGAGGAGGGACATTGTAAACTCAATGCCCATCAACGATGTGATGTTTCAATCAACCCTCCCTTCAAGTTGCCTCCTCGCAGTTCCCTACGAGGTTCTGTGTTCACTGAGGGAAGTGCCCCGTTGGAAGACAACCGTATGAGCATCCTAAAACGTGCCAATGCACAATTATTGGGATTTCAACGCCGCGAATTAACGTTAGCGTTGCGTCCTTGTGATCCTGAGTCGTGCCATAAGACGTTCCTGAGACTTCAACACCGCGAGTAAAATGAGGATGAGGATGAGGATGGGGATGAGGATGAGGATGGGGATGGGGATGATGATGATGATGATGATGATGATGATGATGATGATGATGATGATGATGATGATGATGATGATGATGATGATGATGATGATGATGATGATGATGATGATGATGATGAGGAGGAGGAGGAGGAGGAGGAGGAGGAGGAGGAGGAGGAGGAGGAGGAGGAGGGGAGCAGGAGGAGGAGGAGGAGCAGGGGCAGGGGCAGGGGCAGGAGCAGGAGCAGGAGCAGGAGCAGGAACAGGAGGAGACGGAGGAGCAGGAGCAGGAACAGGAGGAGACGGAGGTCCGTCTCCTCCTCCTTTTCCTCCTCCTCCCGAGACCGACGATCCGATCGACGATCCCTCGAGGCCTCTGAGGGAGGAGGTGCGCAAGTGCAAGCCCGCGCCAGGCGTCGGCGGCTGGCCCCGGCGGACGGGAGGCGGAGCCTCGGAGGGGCGGAGCCTCGGCGAGCGGCGGCGCGGCGCGGTCCTCTGGGGAGGGCTTGGCTTCCCGTCGGTGGAGGGCAGAGCCCGCGGGGGGGGGGGGGCAGCGTTGCGGCTCTGGGGCGGGGGAGCAGTCCTCAGGATTCCAACATCTAGTTCGCGAGCATGCGCTAGTTAGTGAAGTAACTCGGTCAGCGTTGAGTTGCGCCCAGCCTCAGGACCTCATGGTGCCTTGGAAGGTGGGCCCGACTCAACGAACAAACACGGCAACAGTTGCGAATTAATTTGTGGATCTCAAACAGCAAAGCCGCGTGGGCAGAGGTGGTCATCGGATCGCAGAGTGACTACGCTCAACGTGGCCTTTCTCAGTCAGGCCTTCGAGGTATCGTCGGAGGCAGGTGCATCTTCACTGATTCGTGCAGTCTCTGCTGTGCCTTCTCTCAGGGAGGCGCGGGGGGGGGGGGGTCGCGGCCGCCCTTCGCGAGCACCTTGGGGTGGGGGGGCTGGAGGAGAGGGGGGTGCGATCCGCGAGAGAAGGGGACGAGGAGGAAACAGAGGCTGAACGCCGCCAGTGACCCAGAGTCGGCAGAGATCGAACGATCGGAGAGCCGCGGCCTCTCCAGGCCGATTACCGCGCGGTGTCAAACGAGCCGCCCCCGCGACGTCGCGACGTCGGGGGCCCCGCACCCCCCGCGGTTCTGGCCGCCCCGCTCTGGCGTCTGACCGCTCGGGCCAGCGCGGATGCAGTTCAGCGAGAGCAAGGGCCCGGGCGGCGCCAGGAACGAGAGGCGGGCGGCGGAGACAACGGCGGCCCTCCCGCCCGAGCCAGATCTGGTCGGAGTCGGTCCCCGGGGCCCTCCCTGGGAGCCATCCTGGCCCGCTCGGGGCGAGGCGGATCTGGCCGCGACGTGGAGCCTCCGGGAGGTGCCCGCAGTGGAAGCCCATGCCAAGAGAGGCCCTGCGTGCCTCCAGGGTGCCCTGGGCTTCTTCGGTTCCGAGGGTTTTGCCACGGAAAGCGTGGCGCTCCCACACCAAAAATCAGTGGACGTCCTGGGGTCTCAGGGTTGGGTTTCTTGTGGGAGGTCTCTTGTGGTCGAGCTCCCACAGCACTTGGACCAAGTGCGCCGAGGAGGGCCGCCGTTGTCCGAAGGAAGAAGCCCCAGCTCAAGGCCGAGTATGCCACGCTGAGCAAGGACGGCAAGTCCGTCTGGGAGCCCGGGCTCCCCGCGGAGGTGACCTCGCGGCGGGTGCACAAGCCCGTGCGGAATGCGCCCGTCGAGGAGGCTTCGATCAAGTGCGACCTCCGCCACACGCTGCACATGACGCCGGCGGCCAGGGCCGAGTGGCTGGACAAGGCGCGTCGGCGGAAGAGGAGGAGGAGATCCATGACGCTGCTCGCCCTCGAGAGCGCCTCGGATCAATTTTCCTTGAAGTAACGGTCAGAACGCACACTGGGAGAGGTCCAGGCCGGTATTGGTACCTTGTAGTCCCCCTAGCGCGCTGGTCGGCCCCTAGGGGTCGCGAGCGCTGGCGCCTGGAGTGGCACGGGCAGCGTCACATAATCGACCGCAGCCAGAGAGCCAGTGCTAAGAGCGGCGATGAGAAGCAAGGCGCGCGGAGGGCTGGCGGCCTCGGCAGGGTCCATTTCGATTCATTTCGGTCCGATTCGGCACCAGCCCCGGCCGCCTCGATCCGATTCGATCCCGATGTTCCAACGACCCGACGCGGCTCGGTGCTCGCATGGCGCCGCTGTGCATCCCGAAGCGCCCGATCCGAAGCGAGGCTTCGGCTCCGTGCTGGTGCGGCCCCAGGCGCATGTTCTCCGAGGCTGAGGTTCACCCATATCCACCGCCTGCGGGATGGACCTTTGGGGACCTCGGCATGCGTTGGAGATGAATCTATTATGACCCTTGGGGGGGCAGAAATATCCATATCCACCGCCTGCCGAGGTCTCCGCCGCGGTCGTGATGCCTCGCAGTGCCGATGTTCCGATCTGGGGTCGATTGTCCCTGCCCAGTTCGGGAGGGGGAAAAACACTCAGCCACAATTAATTCATCGTCGATTCCCCAGAAAATCTGCGAAAATATGGGAAGTGGGGGGGAAGACGAACACCCCAAAAAGATTGAAACGTAGGGGGGATCCTGGGACTTGCGTGTATTTGTTTGTGTGTCCCTGGGCCCCGTCACCGGTGGGGGGAGGGGGGAGCCCGGGAGCAGCCGGGCATCAGACCCTATCCAGGTTGGCTGGCAGCAGAGGGGGCCCCACAGGCGGCCAGCCACGTGCCTCGACCTCTGTCGTCCTCGGCGTTGGTCTCGATGTTCGCGCTTCGATCTTCCTCGGCGTCGTCGTCGTCGAAGTCGGGCCCTCGATCGTCGTCGCCGATCTTTGATCTTCGATGTTCGACCTGCGATCGGTCGTCGATCCTCGATCCGCTTCGGACCCTCGCTCGTGGCGGCCAGCTGGCCGCAGAAGCCGCAGGCCATGCAGGCGATCCCGACGGGCCGCGCGAAGGTCCAGGAGGTTTTCAACATCGTGACGCACCCCAAGTTCGTGTCCGGGGTGCCCGACAAGGCTCGCAGCGAAGAGTCGGTACGATCGAAATGGGTACGGAAAGAGAGGGCACGAAGACCGATCCTGTCCACTTTGAGCAGGACTCGCTGTCGGTGTCGCCGCGGACGTTGTACATTTGAGACAGACGGCCGCCTGGCCAACAGAGGTCGTTGTCGGTTTTGGACAACATGTGCTGTTGGGCATCGTACCCACGTTTTCCGTACATCATTGTTCGGCCTCTTGGGGGCTCTCGTTTGGCCTTGGCGCCGTGAGAATTACCCGGGACGGAAGATTGGCCCCATGGGGAATAGGCCCAGACCGTTGGTGAGCCGCGTTTTGAAAAAAAAAACGGGAAAAAAAAAACTACGTCGGACGTGTGGAGTTTGAAGTTCTTTGGGCTCTTCCCAGATCCCAGGGACAGTCAGAAAACAGTTCATAGTTCCCGAGAAGCCCCCCCCCACAGTCCAGGTGGTCGAGTGAGGAATTGCATGGGGGGTGGCAAGCGCCGAATGGGCTCGTTAAAGAAACGCACGCCCTACATATGTACAACGAAAACGAGATCGTCGCACCCACAACAAAAAACGATTCGAATCAAAAGACCGCGCGACCATTCTCGAATGTGCGATTTGCTCAAACGCACATATCACACCGCTGCACTCACCGCTTTGTTGATACCGGGCACAATGTAAATCGCATGTCTGAGTTTTTTATGTTGACGTCCGTCTCTGCAGTGGGGCAGCCTTGCGTGATTAATAGCAGACGCTGTCACCTTTTAGGATAAAACGTGAGCACCATTTAGGGTATTACGGTAGGACTTGCGTTTGGTTTCTGTTTTTTGTGTGTAGCGGGTTGTAGTATATGCGCCGCCCCTTTGCTGGCGATTTGCCTCTTTACATTCGAAGGTCTGGTCACAAGGGATGTTTTGCGAGGAAGAAACCATCCGAAGGATACATGTTTGTGCCTGACTATAGGACCCCGTACGATCTGACCGTAGATCAGGATGCAACACCCCGTGGCATCAAGCAGTTTCCAACAGCGGGGGCGCGGCGCGTGCATTGCGTCGCCGCACGCCGTGCCCAGCCGTTTTGGCTGGGGCGCGGCCCGCCGCGGCCGCCCCCCTCCCTACTCACCCCCCCCGCCTCCGCCGCCCCGCCGCCAGCGAACCCGCCGAACCCGCGGGCTGGGCGGGAGCCGCGCTCCCGCGGGCAGGGGGCGGCCCTGCCCTCGCGGGTTGGGAGAGGCTGTAGGCGCGCGGCAACGCGTCGGACGCGGGGGTGGAGCCTGGCGACGGGGACAGGGAGAGGAAGGGGCACATGTCACGGAGCGGGCGACATGAGGGATGGAGTTGGAGAAGGATAAGGGTGATGAGGAGGAGGAGGCAGAGCCGGTGGTCTAGCCGCCTCTGCCCCGGGACCGCCACCAGGGCAGGGTGTACCAGCGCTTGGTTTCCAGGCCGTTGACGTGCGCGTTCTGACCCCATCGGCAGCCGTGGGCAGGCGCAGTACTTTCAGCAGCATCAGAGGGCAGCGAGGACGGCGAGGACAAGATTAAGAAGGTGGCGGAGGTTTTCACGGCCGAGCCCGCAGCAAGGGCTCCTACGAAAACGCGCCGCGGTGGCCTTCAGAGCAAGAAGGCTCGGGACGAGAAGCGGGCGGCAGCATCCAAGGCGAAGTCGGACAAGGCCGCCGACGCCAGCGAGGAGAATGGCAACAAGGCCACCGACGCCAGAGAAGAGAAAGACGATTAGGAGAAGGTCCCGCCCACCGAGGACGCAGAGGAGCCTGCCGCGGACGACACCGCCGCGGTTCCGGACCGTACTCGCAGCACGTTCGTGCGCGGCGGCGACGGTGGATAGGATATGGATTGAGCGACGCGTCTGAGATGGGTGCGCGGGGCAGGGGCGCGGGCGGGGCGGCGGGCAGGGCACGCATGATCTGCAACCTGAACGCCATCGCCCCTTGCGCGGTCGCGGGCAACGCCAGATCCACCCGCCCGCCCGCCCGCCGCTGTGCCGCTGGCGACTAGCTGCGTCAACGCCCTCGTCGACTCGGTCCTCGCCTTTCCCCCGCCCCCCTGATCATGCCAGTTTTGCTGCCTTCCTCGCCAACCTCTCCCCCGCGGCCCTGTCTGTTCGCCCCTTCCACCTCCGTTCTTCGATCTCCTGCGCGTCGAGGCCGATTGCTACTCGGAGATCGGCGTCGGCCCGCGAATGCTATTAAATCGTTTCGCTTATTCCGCCCGCCCTCATTGTCTCGCCGCTGTCGTTTGTCTGGGCGTCGTTGTTAGTGCTGGGCCACTGGGCGACTTGCATTTTCTGGGGGCGGGGCGCGGTGAGCGTCGCAGGCGAAGCAGTTGTTGTGGAATCGATTCCTGCGCGTCCTTCGTTGACCCCGGCGGCGATGTCTTGGCAGTCGCGGGTTGTCAGGGGGGGTTGTAGGTACTTCGCTTGGGGCATATTGGGGCCAAACGTGGTCGTGGACAAGACGCCTCTTTGCGTGCTTCCTCTGGGTCTCCTGGGCGGCCTATCGGGGGCCTCTTGGCGGTATGTTGGGGTCCATCTCGGGCCTCGGAGGCCTCTCGGGGTTTGGGGGGGGGCCTCTCGGGAGCTGCTTGGGGGCCTCCTGGGGGGGCCTCTCGGGGCGGAGGGCTCGAAATAGCCGTTCGGGGACTTTGCCTGGACCCACTCTTGGAGCCGTTTAGGAGGCCTCGTGGGCCGTCTCGGAGGTTTTTGGAATCGTATTGGGGCCTTTGGGGCGGTTCGGGTGCCCTCTCGGGGGCCTGACGGGCCGTCTGGGGGCGTTATTTGGTGCCTCCCGGGAAGATTTGGACGCGGTGAACCCCCGAACGTCGCATGTGCGAAAAATGTACATCATCCGAAGGGAAGGGGGCGATTGTCGCTCGTTGGGGCCCTCTTGGAGAGCTTATCGAGGCTCTCTCGGGCCGTCTTGGCGGCCCCTAGGCCCGCATGGGCGTCTCGGAACAATCTTTCGGCGACTCGGCGCCTCTTGCCCCCCCCTCTTCGCCCCCGCCCCCGAAGTCGAAGTCGGGCCTGTTTCTGTGCGCAGCCTGGCCACAGGTTGCTTTCCCGCCAAGGCTTGCGCGTCAAATTTTGGCCACCGTAGCACGACTCCCCCCATGCCTTATCCCTGTCGATGTCGCCCTCGCTATCGCCCGCCACCCCCCCTCCTTGCTCCCTCCCCCATCGCCCCCTTCCTCGATGAAGGCCCCCCCTCCCGCGGGTTCGGGGCTTCTGCAGCCCCGACCGCGGGGGGCCCGTTCGCGAGCGGCTCGGGCTCGTCGGGGCCCAGAACGGGCCGAGCCAGGTAGCCAGCCAGCCAGCCAGGTCGTCGAGCTGGCGCGCCGCGTCGCCGCGCAGCCTCGCCACGACGAGGGCGGAATGGGTGCTCGATCGAGGATCGTGGGCGGATGATCCAGGATCGGTCGGCGACCGAGGTCGCGAGCCGATGATCGCGAGCCCACGCCCGAGGACCGGGAATCGAGGGCCGAGAGTCGACGTTCAAGCGTAGAGGTATCAGAGCCGAGTGCGGATGACCAGCGGTCGGCGACCAGGTTTTCGACCGCGGCGCATCGAGGACCTAAGATCGCGGGCTGCTCTTCCGGGTCGGATGGCATCACTGGCGCCCCGCCGCGGCCGCAGGCGAAGCGACAACGGTGCGCTCCCGGCTGCAGAATTCGCTTGCCCCCAGCTCGCGGCGGCGACCCTCCTGAAGCCCCGTCTCCTTGCCTCCCCATCCTGCTCTTCCCTTGGCCCCCCATCGATCCCCGATCCGTCCTCCTCCATTTTAGCTTCTTTGTGTTTTCCCGCGCCAGTCGTTTTTGTTGCCCGGCATTTCCCGTTTCACCCCGTCGTCCCCACTGCAGTGGCGCAGATGGGCCAAATTGAAGAGTTCGTGCTTGCAGAGCAGGTCTAAACAGGGTAGGCCTGCAGTGGCATCGAACGGTGTTTGTGGGTAGGTCTACAGAAGTTGTTGCTAAAACAAGGGGTGGGTCTCTGATTTGAGCACCAATAACTAGAGGGTGCCTTTGAGATCAAAAAGATGGGCGGGAGTATGCGTTGCCGAACGCGGATGGGGAAACGAATGGAACGCGATCGTGGGCAACAAAAGTTGCGCGACGTTCTGGGCGGGGGGCGGCCAGCGCGCGGGCCTGGTCGTCAGCCGCGTGGCCGCGGCATCGCCGCGTCATCCGCCGCCGCCCTCGGGCCGCGACGGCGGCGGGCGCGACGGGCGGCGGGCGCGCGGAGGAAGCGGGGCGGCGGCGGCGCGGCGAGGGTTTCCATGGGGGCAGAGGGCGGGGTCGGGACGTGGAGGGGCGGGCGGAGTGAGCGACGCAAAAACACGGGGTCGTTTGCGCCGACATTGGCGCGTAAAGTGCCCGCGTAAGGTCGCGCGCAAGCGCCCTCGCTTCCAATGTGGCGTGCCGCGCCGGCGGCCCGCATAAGCCGCGGCGCAAGTTCGTTATGCCATCTCGCGTGAGACCCCTTTTTGATCGTCGCTCGAGTGAGGGTGCTCTCCCCCCTCTTCGCCGCTCGGTGCACGTGGCGGCTGCGCAGCGGACGGTACGCGCCGACTGTGGATGGGGGGGCCCGCCGTGGGCCCAAACTGCGACCTGTTTGAAGTCCAGTTTCGGTCGTTTCGTGCTGGGCCCGAAATTAGCTCGATGGTCTTTTGCGAGCCTTGTCGCGCCGTGTTTGTCCCTCGGGCGGGACCGCCGCCACCCCGATGCCCCATGTGGGTTTTGGATGTTTTCGGCTTTGTCGTGTGCAACAGCACGAGCTTGTTTGGCGCGATCGTGGTTGGTTTCCCTGTTCGCAGGCATTTGGTTTGGAGGCTGCGCTTAGTTACCCAAGACACGCGCGTGGGCGAAAGTCGGTTTTCTTGTTGTCTCGATGTATGTGTTTTTTCGCATTGGGAAACACGTGCGCGTAGCTTCGGCATGGCAAAACGCCATAACCAGCGCCGAGAAGCCGAACAAAACGAAAACGTTTCATGGGTGGCGGCCAAGTCAAAACGCCGTTTATTCCGACGTGCGACAACACTATGTGCGCCCGCTACCCCCCCCCCCCACACGTACAGCCCAACCAGGTCCAGGACCCACTTCCACCAGGATGTGTTGCCATCGCGCCGACAGGTCGGCAGGAGAATGTTGCGGATCGTTGCCGGGGCGCTCGACAATTTCTCGGACAAGCAGCGGATCACGCTGGTGTCGAAGTGCAAGTTGGCCGAGCTCTACCAGTCCGCCGTTTCAAACCTACGACGCCGATGTCAGTTCTACGCCCCCGTTCGACCCCATCCCCGGTATTTGGGTTTCTTCTCGCGGGCCTTTTTTCGATTGCGCTGGGGCCCGGGAGGTGCCCAGGCCGAAATGTTGGAGAAATGTGCTGCGCATGTCTGTTCGCGGGGCCCGGGCTCCCCAAACATCCGCTCAACAGAGCCGCTCCCCAGACCTCCCCAGCCGTGGGTGGCGAGAAAGGTTGCCAGAGATGCCCAGCAAAACAATGTTTTCGTCATCGTGTTGATGGGCGCCACGCGCTCCTTCCTCCTCATGGGTCATACACTCACCAGTTTTCAGCCGTCGCCCGCAGGGACGACAACCCGCAGAAACGTTGAGGAGATCTGCAAACTGACGACGACGACGACGACGACGACGACGAGAAAGCCACAGAGGCCTGCGCACCGACGAGAAGGACAATAAAAAACAGGAGCCTGCGCAACGACGACGACGAAGACGACGACGTCGACGTGCTGCTTCTGTTCCTCCGCGACGCCCCAAGGTCCGCGGCCATGCTCGCGGAGGGCGAGGCAGATCGGCCACAACGGGGGGAGCTGTGGCCCTCACTCCCCCCATGGGGACCCATCCGCTTCTCAGGCGATCGCAAACATGGATCAAGGGGGCGTGGATTAGCGACGGGTCCCGTTTCCATGGGACTCGCGGATTTCCGCCGCCGCGCGAGGCGGCACCTCCCGCATTTCGGGGAGGGCACCTCCCCCGATCCATGGATTTGGCGACCGCGCGCCAAATCCATGGATCGCTAATCCATGTTTGCGCGCCCCCGACATGGGGACCTATCCGCTTCGGCGCTTCTCCCCAGACCTCCAACGCCCAACGCATGGGCAAAAATCAAGGCGGCGCCTTTTGTCGTGGTTCTCACTGTCTGGGTGGCGCTCGCCAGGCCCCCGGACCGTCAGGCAACTATCCAGGACAAGACGTTTGTCTCTGGGGTAGGAAGGGGGATGGTGGAAGGGAGGGGGAGGGGGATGGCGGAAGAGAGAGGAGGAGGAGGAGAAGGAGGAGGAGGAGGAGGAGGAGGAGGAGGAGGAAAACCATCCAGAGCTTCGGGGGCCCAGCACGGAAGAGATCGAGACGTCGGAGGTCTGGGTCTCGGGAGGCCACCGGTCGCAGGGCGATTTCTCGGCCCCCAGTCCCCAGTCCCTGAGCTCCCCCCCAAAAAGATACGAGTAGAGCATCGACTACTTACACCAGAATCAATGTTCTCGTCGAGTGTACGAGAATACACGGGCATTCTGCGTTGATCCGAAAAAAAAGGATCAATTTCGAGGCAAATGAATTCTGTAGTCGATCCCCCACTCGAAAGATGGCTGCTCAGACGAGAAGGGGAAACTCGGGGATACACCCCCAGGGGGGCTGTTCGGCTGCACCCCTATATTCAGGACGAGGGGCCCCCCATCATCCCCCCAAAGGCTGGGAGTGGGGTCGCCGTGCCCCTCGGGATCATCGACGGTCACGATGGGGCCCCCCGGAGAGAGGCACACGGTTCCCTTCGGTCCCAGACGCCCGGCGGTGTGGTTTCCTCCGTCCGCGGCCCCAGGGGTTTTGATCTCCCCGGGCGCAGCCTCTCACCCCTGGTCCGGCCTTGATGGTGCCGGGGGCCGAACAGTGGGGGCGGCCAAGATGGGGGTGATGGCCACGGAGTGTGGGGTATCATGGCCAGGGCCATGGTGTTCCCCCAGGTTTCGTGACCCCCCCCGTCCTCTTTCAGTGCGTCCCTCGGCCCCCCTCTGCCGCGCGCGTGCCTCGGGCAGTGACTCGCGAACACGGTCGCGGGGCTGAAATACGGACCACTGTGGGCCGAGGAGCGTTTTCGGGCGGTTCCTTGGACCTGGGTCGGGGAACCTGTCTGTTTGGCGTTCCTGATGCTAGCGCGCTGGCTGTCCCCCTCGTGGACGCCCCCCCCCTCGGACGCCCCCGAGAGCAAAGCAAGCATCCTTCGGGGGTCCGGCCAGGACGACGACGGGGACGCCGACGAGGAGCTCGCCGGTGCGGGCCTGGAAGGCGACGCCGCGGAGGAAGAGCCGGCGGCGAGCCGCTCCCGCTCGCGGAGGTCTCGCTCGAGGAGGACTTCCCTCTCTTCCAGACGGGGGGGGGGTCGGCAGCAGCTGGTTGGGGCCTCGTGTGGCCTCGAGGTTCCCTCTCTCGAGTGCATTCGCGTGCGTTACCATTGGGAGATCGACAAGTGAGCGCCGATTTAGTATCGATTTAGCGTCGATGGGCGTCGAACAGCTCTGACCAGCGTCGGTTAAAGTTAGCCTCGATTCGCAAGATGCCATGGGAGGCTCCCATGAGTTGCCGCAGAAGGGGGGTCGGATCGAGGTCCCAGGCCTCTGGAGGAGTGATCTCTTCACTCCCGTCTTCTGTTGTTGGCACTTCTTCATTCCTTCGGCCTTCGGGGGCCGTTTCTCGGGGCCCGGGACAGTCGAAGATGGGCCCAGGACGGAAACCTGATCCCCGGGGAGGTGGTGCGGAGCTCTGGGGCCAAGGATCGAACAAGGGTCGCACTGTCGGATGTCTGGGTCGGAGGGTTTGGGCTCGAGATTCGAGGAGGTGTTTCGCCATCTCCCTCAGAGGAGAAATCATACAGCCATAGGGGGAGAAACCTACGGTCAGAGGTGTGAGCTCATCTAGGCCTCCCAGATGGGGTTGGAGTAGATTGGGGTCGGAGGATCGCGCCGCATCGCCGATGCGGCTCGATGTAGAGCCCGACATTCTCCACGCTGACGTCGCTGATGCGCCGCCGCAGTCGCCGACGCATCGTCGTTGCATTGGCGATGTGGCGCGATCCTTGGACCCCACCTACTCGGACCCCACCTGGTAGGCCTCTCGCCCGGCATTTCGCGCCGCCGCCGGGTCCTGGCCCGCGACGCCTCGGCGCGTCGCGCCAGCCGCTTGGCAGTGCCGAGTCGTCCACGCGAGTCTCTTCCAGCCTGCCGCCCCGCGAAGCGAGCGACACGCGATCCGCCTGCAAACGAAGAACAGGGGGAAAGAACCAACTGCGCACCTATCGGGACACCACTGGGGACACCATCGGGACACCATCGAAATACCACCGGGGCAGCATCAGGACACCAATCGGGACACCAATTGGGACACCGACGGGACACCGACGGCGGGACACCGACGGCAGGACACCGACGGAAAGCCGACGGGACAACGACGGAGCACCGACGGGACACCGACGGGACTTCGACGGGACACCGACGCGATACCGACGGGACACCGACGGGAAACCGAGGATATCGACGGGACACCGACGGGACACCACGGCAGCATACCGACGGGCCACCGCCAGCGGACACCGATGGGATACCGACGGGACACCATGACGGGACAACCTGGCCACCGCCCGCCCACTTGGGGAGGTTCGGGCAATTGTCTTGCCCCGCCCTAGCAACAACGGTGCCATTCCCCTCGCCCGCCCACGCAGCTTCGCCTCGCCCGCACGCACGACACGAACCCGAAACCGAAACCGATTTCCTGGTGGGGGGCTCTCCGTTCCACTTCGACTCCCCCCCCCCCCAACCTCCGATCATTTCTCTGAGGTCCAAGCGGGTTTCTGGGATCAGCGGTTTGGGCCCCCCTGGCGGCGCCTCTGGCGCCGCCCCTGGCGCGCCCCGCGCGCCAGGGAGGCGGATCCAGCGCCGATGCAAGGGATCCGCCCAGACCTCCGAGACATTAATTGTTATGGTCACGCAGTTTTTTGTTCCCGTCTGGGATTGATGCTGTCGCCTCCTCCCTCCTTCCTCCTCCCTCCTCCCTCCTCCCCCTCCTCCTCCTTCTTCTCCTCCTTCTTCTCCTCCTCCTCCTCCTCCTTCCTCTCCTCCTCCTCCTCTTCCTTCCTCCTCCTCCTCCTCCCTCCTCCTCCTCCTCCTTCTCCTCCTCCTCCTCCCTCCTCCTCCTCCTCCTCCTCCTCCTCCTCCTCCTCCTCCTTCTCCCCGTCCTCCCTCCTCCTCCCCCTCTGGGCTGATCCTCATTCGCCTTGATCTGGGTGGCCCAAGCGATCATCATTAGGCGTGGTGCTCGCGCCTCAGCGCCGGCCACATGCCCAAGCGGGTATTGGGCTGCCGCTCGAGCGCCAGCCACAAGTACGTGCTGGGGCGCTTGGGGTATGCGTCTTGATGGGGTTGTCCCAGGGGGGTTGTCCGGGGATTTTCCCAACCCTCCCTTGGTTTGGTTTTCGTTTTGAAGAAAATACTCGGTCTATAGACCGAGTATTTTCTTAGGGTGGAGGGCAAAGGGTGACATCTGAAATGCCGTTTCGCGCAAAACATCGTCACCTGGCAATTTCCTTCCCCCTCTCGTCCGTCCTCTCCTTCTCCGTCTGCACCCCCGCTTCCCGCCTCCACCCCCATCATTGCCTCGTCCTCCTACACCTCCTCCTCCAAGGCTTATATTTTCCCTCCTCTGCCTCCCTCTCCCCCCCGTCCCCCTCCACCCCCTCATCATGATCATCATCATCATCATCATCATCATCATCATCATCATCATCATCATCATCATCATCATCATCATCATCATCATCATCACCAGCATCAGCATCAGCATCAGCATCAGCATCATCATAATCATCATCAGCATCAACATAATCATCATCAGCATCATCATCATCAGCATCATCATCAGCCCACCCCCGCCAATCGCTAATGGCAGCGGGGGGTGACGCATCATTTTTCTGGGGAGACCCCCCTGCTCTATTAGAGCAGGGAGGGTCTCCACCTCCTTCTCGACCCCCACCCCCGCTCTCCTCTCAGCTCTCTCCTATCGCGTCCTGCTTGGGGGCCGCGAAGTGTGAACCTGTCGCCACTTTCGAGGGCTGCCGGGGGAGCATCCAATCGGGACCTCGCCATCCCTGGGGGCTGCGAAGTGTGAAATGGTCGCCACTTTCGAGGGCTGGGGGGGCCCTCACAGTGTGGCCGCATGCAGATCCAAACGGGACCTCGCCATCCCTGGGGGGCTGCGACGTGTGAATATGTCGCTGCTTTCGAGGGCTGCTGGGCCAGCACAGTGGGGTCACACGGAGATCCAAACGGGGCCTCGCCATCCTGCTGGGGGGGGGGCTGCGAAGTGTGAAATTCTAGACGCTTCGCGTAACCCCACCAGATTGACACGCCCTCTGGACTTTTCCTTGCGGGCCGCAGGAAAAAAAGTAACCTCACCAGTTTTTGCACGTGCACTTGTTGCGTCGGCCTATGCGCCGTCGTAGCCAATTATCTCGCCCTGTGCCCCAGCCGAGACCGTCCCGCTTCCTGGATCTGTCCTTGGAGCCGCCAATCAAAAAGTAACCCCACCAGACTGTGCGCCGCTTGCACCGCCGGACTGCCTCGCCGTTTGGGCGCTCATTGGCTGGAGGACGCCGCTCGCATGCCCAGCGACGTGGGGCTCCGCGTTCGCGTCTTGGGTGCCCCGGAGAGCTTCTTGGGGCCTCTTGGGAGCCTCTTGGAGGCCTCTTGGGCGCCTTTTGGGGTGGGGCCTCCTGAGGCCTCCTGGGCGCCTCTTGGAGCCCTCTTGAAGCGCTCTTGGGAACCTTGGGAGCACTCTTGGTCCATCTTGGAGCCATCTTGAGGCTTCGGATGGCCATCGGAAGCGAAAAGGCGAGAAAGCCAACAACATAGATTTCCTCAGGTTTGGGAAGGATTTTGGCATCTTCGGGGCCTCCTGGGGGAGCTCTTTGGCCACTTGGAGAGCCGTCTTGGAGCGGTCTTGGGGCCTCTTGGAGCATCGTGGGAGTCATTTTGAGGCATCTTGGGATATCTTGAGCCATCTTGGAGGTCATCGTGGGCTCTCCCAGGCGCTCTTGGAATCATCTTAAGCAGTGTCCCCCCCGCCCCCCCCCCCTAGGAGGCCAAAATGTGGCCAAAACCTTAGTGACATGAATGATTTTGGCATTCTCGCCGAAGCCTCTTGGAGCGTCTTGGGTGCCTCTGGGGGCCTCTTGGGCTCTTGGGGGGTCTCTTGGGAGCCTCTTGGGGGCATCCTGGGGGCCTCTCTTGGGAGCCTCTTGGGGCCTCCTGGCCACCTCTTGGGGCCCTCTTGGGGAACCCTTGGGGGCCTTGGGAGCGCTATTGGGGTCATCTCGGAGGAGATCGATCAAAGCAGGGGGGTCCCTAATTAGCTTTCCCCCCACAGGAGGCCAAAATGGGGCCAAAACCTTAGTAAAACCAATGATTGTGGCTTCCTCGCCGAGGCCGTTTTAGACGCGCCGGCGCAGACCGCTCGCGGAACGCCCCGTCCAGGTTCATGGGAGGGGGTAGGGGGAGGGGTCAAGACCCCCTCCCCGCCCGCAAGCCATCTCGCTCACTCCCACCCGCCCTCCCAACACATACGTAGCACCCGAGTCTGGCCCGAGCCTCAGCATATTCAGCAGTCGTCTTTGGATGGGTAGCTACTGGGGGCCAATCCGCCGCCGCCACCGCCGCCGCCGCCGCCGCCGCCCGCCGCCGCCGCCGCCACGCCGCCGCCGCCGCCGCAGCCGCCGCCGCGTGCCGCCGCCGCAGCCGCCGCGCCGCCCCCCGCTGCCAAACCGCCTCCGCCGCCGCAGCCGCTGCCGTCACCGCCACCGCCGCCGCCGTGCCGCCGCCGCCGCCGCAGCCGCCGCAGCCGCCGCCGCCGCCGCCGCAGCCGCCGCAGCCGCCGCAGCCGCCGCCGCCGCCGCCGCCGCCAAGTGTACTCTGTATTGTTTTTTGACAAGGATGGTGGGGGGGGGGGCCGCATCGGTTTGGCTGCGCATGTTCCGAATTTGGAGGCAGAGTGTGTTTTGTATTGTTTTTTGCAAGGAATGGTGGGGGGGTGTTGTCATGGACCCTGGTTGGCCCCCAGTCGCCTGGGGGAGGGGGTGTTTATTAATAGGGAACAGTGATAAACCCTTCCCCGAAGGGGAAGAGGGAGGGGTGGAACAGGAAACGCCCTATACCACCTACGCCCAGAGGGCTGGTGGGATTGCCACAACTTTCGAGTGCTGCTGGTGGGGCCAGGGTGTGAAACTGTCGCCATGCCGAATTGGCCACGCACACACTTCGCACGAGATAGATATCCGCCCTGCCCCGTCTCTTGCA